AGCTTTCCATGACAGCACCTCTCAAGGAAGGCACAGAGCTCCAGTGCCCCCAGCATAAGCCCCCAGTGCGCTGGTTAACGCTGCAGACATCCCATTGCAGCAGAGAGCCAGGCTTTAAACACTTGTGTTCTCTTTCCCAGCACTTAACGATTTCCTTCTGGCTGGACCCTTCCCAAAGCTGAAAAGAGGCAGAACAGCTACAAATAATTCATCCAAATCGTGCTGACAACAGCAAACACCCTGCCTGTGATTCACTGCTGCAGTGGGGAATTCTGGGCTCCAGCACATGGCTTCCGCTGGGAGAGGTGGACTTGGTACCAGGGATAAAAACCATTGCTCCTGCAACTACCAATGGCCTCTGGAAGTGATCAGGTGAAACCAGAAGAGGAGCGACCTGGTTTGCAAAGAGTCTTGGTAAAGCTCAGATACCCCTTTTCACTTCTTTCCCATCTGATTGTAGGACACATCCCAGATGGAGACAAACGAGTTGGATTAGATCTAACTGGGAAAAGCTGACAAGCTTCCAGGTGCACAGCATGTTCTCCACGTTCCCTCATCAGCCTGTTCCCACTCCTCTTGTCCAGTGAACAAGGCAAAGGAAAGAGCACATTTAGTTTTTAACAATTGCCTTTCCAGCCATCACACCCTGTTGGCTTCGGGTCTGAGTTCCTCACAAATGAAGAAGATCATGTTGGTTTGGAAATCAGTATTGTCAGCTTGGCAGTGCGAACATCCAAATGCTCCCTCCTCCCCTTTCTGCTTCTCCTTTTCTTTAGCCCAGCTGGCAAACACACTTCCATGACACTGGAAGTCTCTGCACATGGGTCTGTGGCCTTGGTAAGCACAGTACATGTAATAGATCATAACGCAGGTTGTCACTACCTGTACATAACCTTAGCTGCTCATCCAGTGGGTGCTGCAGACTGTTCTCAAACCCTGTGAATGAGCAGTACTGTACCAAAGTAAAGCACTGCTGAAATCCTGGGACAGAAGTACTCCAAAGAGTTAAACCAGTGACCCATGAATGCACCACACCTGCAGTGTTCCTCATTGTATTCAAAAGACCCAAACCACCCACTGGTCTGCAAGGTCATATTTACCCACTGGTCTTTGCTCAGAATTGCCTAGAAAGGCAGCTATGAGGATGAGAAGTGAAACCAACAGCGAATCCATAAACCCTCACAAGTGTGATGTGAACAATCACAGCTACCCAGCATGGATTCCAGCCAGGGACCTTCCCAGCAGAAGGGGGACAGGTCCATCACGATGTTGTTATCGGGAGCTGATCACACACCCAGGTTGTGCAGCCCTGAGTAAGCTGAGTGGAATGATGGCCAAGTCAATGCCAGCTGATGAGCCAGCCTGCTTTAAGCTGCTGCTGTCAAGGTGAGCCGTTTGTAACGCTCTGTTTAAGCCATGTCCAAAGGCCAAACAGTGCTGTTTGTCATTCATCTTGCCTAACTTCAGCTGTCCAGAGTTTCGGTGTGCAGTTCATGTAATCAGCTTGGCCCTTCTCCACCCAGTCTGAAGTAAGTCTGTAGCCCTCTGGACAAGCCCATCTCTCCTTCACGTAGATGATGAGCTTCCACTAGCTGCTTGTTGGCATAAGTAGCCAGCAGGAATTACAGCTTTCCTCTGTGGGCATTTTCATTTTCTTAACATTGCCTTTTAAAAGTCAAATGTAAAATGTTCAATGTGGCACCAGAAATGGTCTCTGGGGGCTGAGAAAGGCTGATTTCCTTTCTTACAAGGAGAGCTGCCTTTCAGGTAAAGGAAGTTGCTGGCATATGAAGCCACACAGAGAAACCTGAAGTGGAATTTATTCACTCCTCTCTCTGAAGCCAAAGAAGAGCTGATCACTCAGGCTCCATTTTTGATACAGACGGCTGCTAACCTCCATAAAAGACCACACAGCTCATGCTGTCTATTGTCAACCAGCAGCAGAAAGACTGGAAGGTACCTGCCCTACTGCTACTCCAGCCTACCTGGAAAACCCACTGTTTTCCAAGCTGGTAAATAAAAGGCAAGCACTTTTCTCCCAGCAATTTATAAAACCAGCATCACCCTTCAATTTACAGCAGTTTTAATGCAAGAATGCTGAAGAAAAGGAATAATGAGAACGCATGGAGCCCAAACAAACTAAGTGCATACGAACTGAAAGGTGGGTATTTCTTCATTTGCAGAACAAAAAGCTGGTGGGTGAGGCACTGGAATGGGTTGCTGAGAGAGGCTGTGAATGCTCCATCCCTGGCAGTGTTCAAGGCCAGGTTGGATGAAGCCTTGGGTGGCAGGGTTTAGTGTGAGGTGTCCCTGCCCATGGCAGGGGGGTTGGAACTGGATGATGGTAAGGTCCTTTCCAACCCGAACTATTCTAGGATTCTATGATTCTATGTAGCCAGTGAACTCCAACAGGAGACAAGGTGGAAAAGAAGAGGCAAAACCAAACAAAGTGTTTTATCAATAAAGGACCCTGCTATGTATGAGTACATTAAAATGGACTTCACGGGAAAACCAAACCCACCAAAGAACAGCAATGACTACGCTGCGACTATTGCTGTGTGAGGTCTGTGGTGGGAAAAGGCAGAAGAAGAGAACACAGTGTAGCACTGAAGTGGTTGACCATAAGGAAATGAAACACGACAGCTTGTCCAAAATAAATGTTGGGTGAAAACCATTCCTCTGGGACATGGGGGTGGAGTGGAGGAGATCCCACGGGAACAGGAAGCATCTCTGAACTATGAATGCTGTTGCAGAGGGCCCTGATGAGATCTCAGAATAATAGTTGCGCTCTTCCAAGGGCAAAAAGATGGAATTCAAATGGAAGAGCTGCCAGGAAGGATTGTAGGGTTCCTGAGGAGCCAGAATGCCTTTTGTACAGCGAAGCTAGAAAAGGAGTGGCTTGTTTACCCAGAAAAATGTCACCATTGCGTAATTCCAGCAGGGCACACAAAGAGTGCCCAAACCAGCATCTGTTTGCAAGAACAAAGATGAATCATCCCTGGATTGGCTCAGTCTTAAACAGTGTTTTATGAAAGTTCTGTGATGCAACATCACCAGGTTGTATTCATCATTTCAATGATCAGCGTGGGTGCCTCACATAAGCCGTGCAATCAATGGAGCAAAGAAGCTTCCAACAGCAGTTCTCAGTCGCCTTTTGGGCTCCATCTAGATCTGCACTTTTGTGTTAGGCAACAAACACTGGAAACTTTAGGGTAGGCAGGGAGAACAGACCCCTTCAGAGCTGCATTTGCTGTTGGACCAGCAATCACTTCATTGTCCTGCTGCAGGACTGCTGATGGTGCCACAATAGGAGATGCTCAAACTTCAGATGGTTAAACCACTCCCATGCTTCAGTATACCAAACCCTCTGTGCGTTAGTACCAGCTCACATGCATAGCAAGGACTTTCAGGAAGAAAGGATAGCACATAAAACCCTTGATGCTGCAAAAGCTACCATGGCTGAGGTAACCACCAGGACATGGGAGATCAGGTTTATATCTCTGCTGGAAACCCCCAAATATGACGTGAGCAAGCCCTTTTTACTGAGTTTTGTGGTTTTCTGTGTGCTGGCTTTCAGCTTCACACCACTGCTCAGCTGCACAGTGCGTGCTGCCCGGTGATCTGATGGCTTTCCCTAAACCCACAGCAGTCTGGGTCTCTTTAATCTCTTCCTGGTTTTCACAAAGCTTGTAGGAGCCCTGAGGTTTTCAAAGGGCTGCTCCTGTTTCATTTGGCCAACAGTGGGTTCAAAAGTTACTGCCAAAGGCACGTGGTGTGTGTGTGCCTACTGCAACTCCTTACAGTCCCAGGCTAACACCCCGAGTTAGTGTCACTCTGAAGGCAGATTCCAAGGCTCTAGCACCTAACCCACTCATGTTTGCCTTGCAGGTTTGATGCTTTGAGAGGGCTGAACGTGTGAACTTAGCTTATGGACTTCAATCCATTGCTGGCCTCAGGATCTCCTATTGGAGAAACATGTGAGCAAACCTCTGCTCCAGAAACAATCACTGCATTTGTCACGGATTATTCTTTTGACCTTTCTTTTTAGTTGCCTTTAGCACTGCAGTCGAACACAGAGCAACTGCAGTGGCACGATTTCACATCTGATGCCAGGCGCTCTCAGAGGTTATCTGGATTTCCCCAGGGCTTCTATTTCCCTGCGCTGCATCAGATGGTGCTGGTAAGCACATGGCACAGCTCAGACAGCAAAATCAGCATCTCAGAGCAGCGCAGCTTCAACCACACAACTGCATTCCATTTATTCAGCAGAGCAGCACTCTCAGGCAACTGCTGTCAATTGAATCAGAGCTGTTACTTGGAAAGCAATCAGTGCTGGGAACAAAAGCACATTTCAGATCAGAAAGCTCACGAGAGTTCTGTTCACAGCTGCAAAGAAGAATCTGCATTTCTAGCTCCTTTCTTACAGATGCCTGCACAAATAAATTAACTTGGACAAATCCGGTCTGATTGACCAGAGGATGTGCCAAGCCAAGCCCCATCAGTCCTGCGGCCACCAACCCCCGTGGCCAGCTATAGTGCCCATGCCAAAAGGAAATCAGCTCTACCACCATAACCAGCACCTTCATAAAAGGTTGAACTTGATGATCCTAAAGGGCTTTTCCAACCTAGTTGATTCTATGTTAGTGCTGAAAGCAGAACTGTGCTGGACACCGAAGCTTCCCTTGCTGCTTCAGGACCAGATTTGCTGTCCTGTGGCAGGGATTAGAACACATTAGAGGAAAGCCCTGCAAAGGCAGCAGCTGAACAGATGCTTCCCCACCCCAGCAAGGGCGTGAGCACAGCAGGAAACCCTCCTTAGCCCATCTGAAGCCTGTTTTGAAGGACGGAAGGGTTAGTGCGGTCCTAAACGCTGCTCTAACCCCCTCACCCGGCGGGCGGGGGGATGCAACCTTCGCGCTCCGGCGCGGTCGGTCCCGCTGCGCTCGCCGTAGCTCCGAGCGGTGCCGGGTAAGCGGCGGCGCGGCGCGGGGGTTGCTGGGATATGTGGTCCTCCAGCCGGGCCGGCCCGTTGACGCCGCGCTCTCCGGCGCCGCCCGGGAACTACAGCCGGCGGCTGCCGGTGTGCGCCCGGGAGGATGGCGGCTCCCCTGGTGCTCGTGGTGCTGGTGGCCGTGACGGTCCGCGCCGCGCTCTACCGCTCCAACCTCGCCGCCTTCATCTCCGAGCGGGTCGAGGTGTCGTCCCCGCTGAACGCCTGGAAGCGAGGTGAGGCCCGGCGAGTCCCCGGAGCGGCTGCAAGGGCCTGGGCCCGGGCGGGTGGCGGGGCGGGGGATGCCTGCAGCCCGTCAGGTGGGGTGAGGAGGGCGCCGGGCTGCAATGCCGGGCCCCTCCGCACCCGGGCACGGCCGGAAGCCTTCGGGGTTGGACCGTGGAGGTTGTCCGGGAAGAGCGAGCTCTCGGCTGCTCTCGGGGCATGGAAGGGACCCGGGCGGAGGCGGAGGACGGGGTTTAGCCCGTGTGTCGGCTGTCCTGGCTGCTCCTGTGCATGCTGGTTGTGTCAGAGGTGGGCATCTGATGGGAGAATGAGAGACTTGGAGCTGAATACGTGGTTTTGGCAGCACCGATTGAGTCATAGTGTTATAGAATATAGACTGGTTTGGGTTGAAGGGACCTTAAAGCTCAACCACGGGCAGGGACCCCTTCCACTGGAGCAGCTTGCTCCAAGCCCCTGTGTCCAACCTGGCCTTGAGCACTGCCAGGGATGGGGCAGCCACAGCTTCTCTGGGCACCCTGTGCCAGCGCCTCAGCACCCTCACAGGGAAGAGCTTCTGCCTAAGAGCTCAGCTCAGTCTCCCTTCGGGCAGGTTCAAGCCATTCCCCTCGTACCGTCCCTGCAGGCCCTTGTCCAAAGCCCCTCTCTGGGTTTAGGCCCCTTTAGGCACTGGAAGCTGCTCTATGATCTTCCCAGAGCTTTCAGTTGCATCCATCACACGGTACCTGCACACGCATGGGAGTTTTTGTAGAGCTGTTCACAGTTTCATCTTCCTTGCTCAGTTTGTGCCCCACATGTTGTTACCAACGTGATTCACATTCTTATCTGAAGTCTGAGGTACAGTTTAAGCAGGGCTTTTTGGTGGCATCCATCTCTATAGCAGTTAAGCCTCTGTGGAACCTTCATTTATTTTAAAGACATCCCCCTGGGAAACTAATATCTAGTTATTATGCAGGAAAAACATATTTGCAGTTTTAGGGTGGAAAACAGTGGCACAGAGTAATAAAGGTCAAAAGCTTGAATGCATTTCATGACCTGAGGCCTCTGCTCTGCAGTGCAGCACTTCACACTCCATAGTTTCAAAACAGAGCTCCCAAACATCCCCTTGCAGCAAAAGATGCTTTGTAAGTCTTGTCTTAGAGCATCCAGGTAGGCATCGAGGTAGTGAGGAGCACAGGATCACATGGAAAAGCTGTGCTGCCGTCATACAGGGATCCTGTGGCAGAGACAGGGTCTTCTCCTCCAGTGTATTGCTGAACCCAGAGCCTCCTGTTGCTTCCTGCAGTCTCCTGCCTTTTGCCTCGGAACAAATGGACTCATTTCCCGTAGCTCCTTTCAGTGCACAGCCCCCAGGGAACCTCTGTGCTCAGTGAGGTGGAGTGTGGAAAGCCTGCGCATGCATTGCAGTACAGGCTGTAATTACATGATCACAAAGGATCTGCATGAAAGCTGCAAAATGTCAGCAATTTTCAGAACCAGATAAAGCTTTTAGCTTTGCCTGGTAATCTCTATTCATTTCTGCTCTTTTATGTTGGTTTTGGATGTTTCAAGTCTCTCGACATCTAATTAGGCAAAATAGTTCAAATTCTCTATTATGTCATGATTTGTCCTCTTAAAATTAAGTATTTTTTTCAGCGTAGATACCATGTGTCACAGCAATGGTGACTTAAAATCAATCAGTATCATACATGTGATTTATAAATAGTGAAGTGCAAAGCACTTCAGCTATAACATTTTTAGCTGAAAGAGATTACAGCTGCCCATTCAGTTACCCAAGAGCTTTGCATGGCAGAAGTAAGGAGGCAGTCAGTCAGTTAAAGCTGGTTGTTGGCTTTGTGAGGTTGTGTGTCACCCACTGAGATGGCGATTCAATGTGAGACTCTTTCAAGTGTGGGTGTAGTTTTACCATCGTGAGCTCTTTCTTTACCACCTTTCAGGATTCTAATGCAGGCATTTTGTATGTTTCAGTGGTTGAAGGACTAGCTCTGCTGGATTTAGGGGTCTCGCCATACTCTGGAGCTGTCTTCCATGAGGTCAGTATGCATGCTTCATTTTGAATGTGATATTCAAGTGGCACGTTTCTCAGTCTTGCTGCTCTCAGCTTGGCAAAGGCTTGTCCCAAAGACTTCAGAGAAATTGGAGTCGTGCAGTTGTTTGTGCAGCAGTTGTATGTGTAGTGACTAGTACAATGAGGAAATACAGCTCATCACAGAATGACTGTGCAGGTTATAGAGGTTGTAAGATTCCTTACTCTGTAAGGAGAGTCTGAAATAGGGGAAATCTGTAATAAGGAAAATACTCTGTTCACATCCAGGTGTTTCTGTGAGCAGAAGCCAGAGCAGGGAGAGGCAGTGTCATTGTGAATCTGAACACAGTTTTACTGGCTAGCAGCATCATGAGTTTGTGTGTTTGCTGAAATACTGACAGGCGAGTAGTACATTTATCTGTCACCTTGAGATCACCTTGTTCCTCCAGACACTTCAGCATCTGTGGGGTTTTGTGCCCTTAGGTTGTCTGGTTGATAGGAAGTTACATTCATACCCGTACCTCTGAAAACTTGCATCCCTTCCACAAGTTCTCCTCCTTTACACAGTGTTTTCTCTCCAGTATTTTCCCTTGCTTATTTACACCATCACATTATTTTAAAAGTGTTTCAAAAGAAACCTGTTTGCTCACAGTGAATTTACACCATGTTAACATGTACTTCCAGATGAAGCTTTTCTGTCATAGGGATAATTCAGGAACATGCTCTTCCTCCTACCCTTGAAGGGAAAGGCTGTGGGAGTGAGAGGATGGTAGGACTGTAGTCCCATTGCTTTGTGTTTTTAACATGCTTTCTTCTTTTTGCCTTATAAAAGGCTCATCTGAACAAGAGGCTCAACAGTGAAACCAGCTTTCGGAAGTACCTGTGAACAACCTGAAAAAGGATAGATTCTCTAGGAAAACCTACTTTCTAAAGCTGTTCTTTATATGCTTTCTACTGTAACTCTACCACTAGATTAGCAGCACTGAAAAGTTGGAAGGGAATATGATTTTCAAAGTTGATTGTGTCTTTTATAAAGCGTATTGAGAGCTTTGCAAGAGAAAAGATGAGTACATGTCCTTTGATTAATCCACTTTACACTGAAGTACCTGTGTTGTAGAAGAGGCCAAGGAAAATTACCTTTCACAGTGTTTCATAGTGCCACTCCATTGTTCTCACCACATTTCCAGCTGTTTTTATCTGGACAGTATTTGACATGGGTTTCCCTTCTGCTCTTTTTTAGACCCCGCTGATTATATATCTCTTTCACTTCCTGATTGAGTATGCTGAATTGGTGTTCATGGTAAGTGCCTCTGGAAAGCTGCTCTTGAAAGGTCCCATTCTGTGAAATGCTGAGTATGACTTTTACTCCTGCAAGTATCAGGGACCTTCAGCCTCTCTGTAGCTCAGGTTCCCGCTGAGTTCACAGTTTAATTAGAAAGGCCTGAACAAACCCATGTTCAGGCTTTTCCTTTTTCTGTACATATGCCTTCTTTTTTTGTGAGTTCTTGGTTAGGAAAGCACCCCAAAGAGGGGCAGGAAGCTGGCATTTGGCTTCCATTTCAGAGGTTACCTCTTCCAGGCCAGAATATTTTGTCCCCTCAGCCTAATCCCTACACTGCAGTGTTTCTCACTGAAACCTGCTGCCAAACCCCAGGCCTGCAGAGAGCACAGATGGGTTTGTCCTCCACGTGTTTCTTGTAAACTGTTCTCTGACTTCTGCATAATTCAGAGGGACAGAAGTACAACTGGCTGCATGTGGCACCTGGTGGAGCCTCTCCCCAGATCCCTGCTGGGCAGGCCCTGTGCAGACCTCAGAGCCATCTGCCTTGTGCTTGGGCTACTGACTGTACTGTTGCCTGGTAAGCCTGGGACAGCTCGAGGCAGTGTCACACTGCATTAATGGACAGGTGGATTTAGGCAGCTGGGCACTGCTGCGATGTTGCCTTGTGCTCTAATTAGACCCATGATTCTCTCTGTTATCCTCACATCTTTCCATGAACAACTTGCTTCCCCTTAATTCCCCATTCTCTCATTCTGTAAATATTAATATCTTTGGTACAGCTCATGGCTTCAGGGTTAAGCGATGATGTGTGAATATAGTGTCCAAATCAGCAATCCAAGTGTTTTTAAAGCTTGTTTTTTGTTCTGTTGAGCTGGGTCAGATCAGAGCCCTTATTCAGCATTGCAGTACCATCTGGTATATTATTTTTTCCATTTCTTGATTTTGCTCACAGTCAGTCTGTCTGTGCCTTGCTTTTTTAGATAACTGACGTGCTCACTGCTGTTGCCCTTTACTTGGCCATCCAGGAATTCAACAAAGTTGTGGTAAGCTGATTTGCCAGTGTTGTTGGTCCTCTTCTCCAAGCAAGTACAATTATCTTGTACCAAAGAAAACACATGCCAGAGGATGCAGTGCCAGTCAGTCCTTGTGGTAGTAAATCCAATCATATCTGGATGATCAATAAATATGGGGACTGAATGTGATGAACACCTGAGGTATTGTAAGTATTGCTGTGGCACTATTAAAGTGTGAAACAAATTAGTGTCTACCATGCTGCACTTGGATGATGATCACAGTAGTGTAGGTTCTTTAATGTGAAAGAAGTATAAAGAATTAGAGGAATTAGTGAGGATGCAGTAGCCAGTGAAATGATAGGGCCGAGGGTCACAGCACAAGAGGAGATGTGAGATTTTAGAACGTGTGCTGAAACCCCTCCTTCAGTTGCTGTGGCAGTTTGCAGTACACAAAGGTTGCTTACTGGACTGTGGATTTGGCAAGACTTGAGCGTTCCCTTTTCCCCTCCTGGAATGTTTTACCTTAAGCAGGGTTTGTGTTTGCACACAGCATGAGTTAATACATAGACTAGAAATGTGTAAAGGAAGGAACAAAACCTTCCAAGGGTGCTGAGGTGACATAAGTCATTCCAGTGAGCAAGGTGAAGGTCTGACCCCAAGTATTACTTGTTCCACTCAAGTTGTAAGTACATCGACTTGGAGGTGAATGATTCCTCCCAGCTCTCTCTCATAAGTAGCTTGTAGAACGTTCTGTCTAAGCGGTGCTGTGCTGCCTGTGATCCCAGAGGGGCAGTGGTTCAGTCTCAACATGAACAGGGAGGCTGCATTTTCTACAGCATCTGTGGGGTCTCCCGTCTAGCTGCATGCTTGTTCCTTGTCCTCTGACTTTGAGGGTGAAGAAATAACTTGTGATAGAACTGCAGACACATAAAAATCCTGTGTTTGAGTTACTTTGCTCATTGAGACTTTATTACCAGCATCTTTCCCCTCCTAACTTAGCATGGCATAGCTCAGTAGGTTCAAAATTCTCTTTTGTCTCCATAGAGAGGACCATACAAGATAGATTAAAGGGAGAGACACATTAAGGAAGTTCAAATAAGTAGAGGTTATCTGTTTCCTCTTGACTTCCACTTCAGTTGTGGATGAGAGTGGTTGTTTTTTGTTCTGTGTGTGCAACACCTCACATAACGTGAGTTTTGGCTCGTGCCTGGGGACCATGTATGTTCTATAGTAATGGAAATCCTGGGTAATAGGAAATAATGACTTTCCTCATCTGACAGTCTTTGGTCATTCTCCTTTGTTCAGTTCAAAAAGCAAAAGCTCCTGATAGAACTGGATAAATATGCACCGGATGTGGCTGAACTCATCCAGACGCCCATGGAAATGCACTACATCCCCCTCAAGGTAGCACTAGTGTAAGTATTGCAGTAGGCTGCTTTGGTTCATCAGCTCCTCTTGGGCTTTATTTGTCTGATTTTAGGCTTCAATATTTGTTGAAGATTCCCCCCCCCCCCCCGAAAGTCTGAATTTCCTGTTACAGGTAAAATTCCCCTTGGCTCTGAATACTTCCCAGCATCTCCTTTCCTCCATTGTGCTCCCTGTGGCTGCTGCCCAAGGCCACAATCCAAAGATCTGGGTTTTGCTTCAGACTGGAAACCTGTTAATTTGATGATGATAAGATCCCATCAGTTATAAATAGACAGAAAGAAATGGCAAAGTGCATCTGTTCTTCCTTTGAACATCTCTTGCTAGATGCTGTGTCCTTTGAATGTAACTCAAGCTCTTCTCTTTTTCAGCTATCTGTTAAACCCCTACACTGTGATGTCTTGTGTGGCAAAGTCCACCTGCGCCATCAACAATACTGTCATTGCATTCTTCATCTTAGCCACAATAAAAGGTAACACAGTGAAGAAAAAATGGTTCTTTATAATTTTCTATGGGGGTTACAAAAGCAGCAGAAATTAAATCAAGGTAGAACTTTACAGATCCGCTTGCTACAAAGACCTCAGTGAAACACTGCAGAAATGAGACTGGAACAAGGTCCGAATTCTGCCTGAAATCATGAGATCAAGAGAATTTAGATTCAAGTGTAAACTTACTTTCACCTCAGTGTACCTAGGAGTTTCATCTCTAAAACTGACTCCTTTTCCTGGATGACCTGAAATAGGTTTCTGTTTATGAAGAAATGCGTGTCTGTGTGTAGGAGGACATAATGCTCTGATGCTCTTTCTTTTGTATGTGAATATGCACTTAAAGTGTTGTATACAATTTAATTTCAAAGTGTATCTTTGAACTTTTATTCAAAAGCAAGCAGTTGCCTGCAGCTGTTATTTGGCTTTCACTCACAGTTGTAAGCTGGGTTTGAAAGGAGCTAATTGAGCTTTGAGGAAGTTGAAACAGTAACCAAAGACCCACACCAGCCCAGTGAATAGATTTTGACAGAATAGCTGTTTCATTCATTTTTGTATCTCACTCCCCAGCTTAAAGTCTTGTAGCATGTGTGATTCGTATGAGTCACATAAGACTGACGAGTTCTCTGCTGGATAAGACTAAAAATCAATCTGGATTCCTGTCTCCAGCAGTGCCCAGACCCAGGCATTGCAAAGAAAGCTGATACAGATCTAGTGCTTCCAAAAGAAAGTTTTCCTCCACTTACTGTCTGATTGAGGCAGGAGGGGCTTTGATTTAAAAGCATTTGCGAAAGCAAATGATTGTGGTCTTTAAACAGACCCCAATCAGTTAAACTGATTTGAAACTGCTGATAGGATGAGATGAATAGTTCAGTCATAGATAAATCTGTGCTGTCCCTTGTGTTCTCCCTGGCTAGGAGTGTGGCAGCCTCTAGGTTTTAAAGTGGGCAAAGAGGGTATCAGATGATGACTGATTTTTGGGTACCAGTTTTGTAGATTGATGCAGAACTGAGCACTCAATAAATAGAGGACAGAGACATTTCTGTATAGGAGGATGTAATTGAAGACTGGGCTTGTATTTTTATTGCTTAGCCTGTGACCTTTTGGACTTTTTCTGGTGCTGGTAATCAGACAGTGTGAGTACTTGGCACTTGGCTCAGCCTGAGATACCTCAAATAAAGCTTCCTCCATCTAGGCATTTGTATTTTAAAGACCACTTGGAAAAGCTGTGTTAATCCTTTCTGTGCCTCAGCTTTGGTATCTGTAAAGTAGGGCTAATGCTACTCCATTCCTTCAGCTGCAGACTTCTGCTTGCTGTCTTCACAGAGCTTTGGTGAGGGACCTGACACATTTTGGTGATGAGATTCTCACCCAGTATGTGTATAACAGCTGCTGCATGCGAATGTGACTCGAGTGAATGCATTCCCATGCATAAACAGCAGCCAGCATGGCCTATATATAGACTGAATTACACAAATCTTTCTGTATGTGAATGAGAGGAGATAGAAACCAGTCAGTGGTTCTTTGTTATGGGATAATCACCTTGGTATGAGTCATTCTCTGTTCAAAATGAGTAGTTAAGAAAATGACACTCTTCAGGACACATTCTGCTAAACCTGCCTTTAAGTGGTGGTCTGATAACTGTAAAGCCCCTGCAGAGGGTTATGCATTTCTTTCCCTGTGGAGTTCCTGTCTGTAAGGCTGTTTGTATTAAATGTTCCTTATAACTGAGCATCTTTTCTTTCTTTGCAGGTAGTGCCTTCCTCAGTACTCTGTTCCTGGCCTTAGCAACATACCAGTCACTCTACCCTCTCACACTGTTTGCTCCAGCACTCCTTTACCTTCTACAGGTAGGTAATTTCTAACTGTTGGTACCCAGCTGATCTGAGTTCATACCGTAGAAGGCAGCAGCCCAGTATTGCAGACATCTAAGATAAGATATAAGTGTAGCTGTGAGGAGATGGGTGTAATTCTTACACTGAGTGCATGAGAAATGACCAGCTTAGCTACTGTATTTTCAGGCATGGTTTTGGAAATCCATGCAGTGTGTATGGCTGAATTGGCCAGAGTGAAGAACATCAGGCAAGCTGTGCTTGAGAGCTGGTCCTTCCAGTGCCACAGTGCCACTGGTTGGTGGTTGGTGCTTTCTTTCATTGATTTAAAATGATATTCTGAACACTGAGGCTTTCTTGTGGCTTTCCACCTGATGAGGGCTATCTGCCTGCTTGTATTTCATTTCCAGCGTCAGTTCATACCCATCAAACTGAAAAGCAAAAGCTTCCAGCTCTACACCATACAGTATGGGGCCCTGTACGTGTGCAACCTGGGGGTGATCATCTGCCTCTCCTTCTTCCTCCTCAACTCCTGGGATTTTATCCCATCTGTTTATGGGTTTATGTAAGTATACAGATTCTTACTGGCTTTTTTTCTCTAGCCCCTGCTGTGCTGTTTCTCATACATCACACACAGATGCCCCACTCCCTGTGCTAAGAAAGAAGTGTGTGATCTGTGAGTTTGCTGTCAGTGCAAGAAAAGAAAGAGTGTGTGGAGGAGAGCAGCATTAGCCAGCTTCTGTTAGTTAACAGCAAGAATCACAGAAGGCAGGAGATGCTTTCTACTGAGTTGGTCGGAAATGGATTTGATTGTTGAGCTACCATAGCTGTGAAATGGTTTGTCTCTGAAGAAATGTCTGCTTGGGAATGGTTTAAATCCTGCTGGAGCATAGGGAAGGATTAGTCCCTTTTCTCTCCAGGTTTTCCCCCCTTTGGCATCCCTTCCTGGGATTTAAAATACAGGTCCTACATGCACCACATAAGGATTAATTAATGTAACAGAAGCAGGTCAGCGAAAAACAACCATTTAAAAATGTTACCTTGACTTTTCTTTTCAAATTTCAGCCTTTCTGTTCCAGATCTGACACCCAATATTGGCCTTTTCTGGTACTTCTTTGCAGAGATGTTTGAACACTTTAGTCTTTTCTTCGTATGCGTGTTTCAAATCAATGTGTTCTTCTACACCATTCCCTTGGCAATAAAGCTAAAGTAAGTATGTTTCTCTGCTGGTTTTGTTTTGCTCTCCGTTGTCTGGTGGAGGTTTATAAGGTCTGGTTTCAGATGTTTGGATCTACACACCTGAAAAAGATTTTTAATAGAACCTGGCCTCCTCATTTCCCAAAGTTTCAGTCTCTGTTCCTCAGAAATCCTTGTCCTGCTTCTCTGCAGAGCTGCTCAGCCTATCCCACCCAGCATTCAGAGCCTTGTTCAAAGAGAACAAGGGACAAGAGCCTCCTCAAGCCTATCCACAGTACCTTTGTGCCCTTTATGATATTTTATTTCCCATTTCCAGACTCTGCTGCATCCTCTTATCCTTTGTGTCTGTTTCCTTCTAGGGAGCACCCTGTGTTCTTCATGTTTGTCCAGATCGCAATCATTTCCATCTTCAAGTCCTATCCCACTGTGGGAGATGTTGCACTGTACATGGCCTTCCTTCCCGTCTGGAACCACCTTTACAGATGTAAGTTCTTTGTCTTTGCTTGTTCTTTAGCTGGAATGAGAAAAGGCCTGTCCAAAAATCATCACCACTAAACCAAAGCAGTCCCATGTCCGCGAGCTCTTGTGGCCTCCTTGGGGTGACTGAAAGGAGGTTGGTTTTTAATGGTGATACAGTCTCTAACATGGCTTTAGGGTCAGGATTGAAATTGGTTTAGGAGGGAATTTTCACTTGTACCTTTACCTTCCAAGTTGTTCTGAAGATCAGCTCTTTTGTAAGAGCCTTTTAGAGTCCTGCACGAGGGATGTGGCTTATTTAAAGTACATCCATCGTTCAGAGCTTCACTGCCACTGAAGGCTGTGTAATCTGAGCGCTGCTCCTGCACCTGGGGAGTCCCCAGCAGTGAAACCCTACACCTTGCAGTAGTTCTTTGTTTTGCATCTGCTTGCTTGCTTAGGGTGACAGGAACTGAATTACTCTGAGCAATTGCCCAGCTTTTCTTTAATGCTTCATGAAGAACCTCTTTAGCAATGTAAGTCACCAGAGAGCTTCCTAATGATTTTCAGCCTCACTCTAGAACCCACTACACTAGGGGGATTTGGAAACGCTGTGTTTGCCCTAAATGTTCTTAAGTAACTGCTTTTGACCTGCCAAAGGACAGGCACAAATAGTCCACAGAAGCCAAAATCTCTTCTGGCCTGGCAGTTATTGGCTCTTTTAAACAAAGCTGTGCTTGTTTTCTGTCCATCTGACACATACTCACACAGACTGATGGATTCTCTTCACGCTCAGTTGCACCTCCCGAGGTTGTGTGTGAGTGCATTTGGCCTGGATGAGTTTCCTCCTCTTACGGTGCTTTCATTTCCTTATCACCTCCCGGGAAAGTCTCTCTTTTCCTATGGCTCACAGGGTTGGGTTTTTCCCTTGATGAGGCTAGGGAATGGCATGCTCTGCTCTCTGAGTTGTGATGCTGCTGAAAGGCCCCTTTCAAAACTGTTACTGTAGTGTAGGCACTAAAAAGCCAAAGTCTTCTGAGGAGGAGTGTTTGAAAGCAGGACCTGGAAGGAAAATGCCACCAGTAAGGACTTCACACTCAAGCAAAGGCAGAAGTATTTATTTCAAAGGGAAGTATAGTGGATTTCTTACAAAAAGCTAGCCAGGGCCAGGGCATTATTAAAGCAGACTATGAGAGATGAGTGGAGAGAAGTGTGTGCTGGCAAGTGCCTCTGCCCCACTGCACATCCCCTAAATACCATTGCTGGTTGTGTGAGTGTGGCTGCTCAGTAATGCATCATTCTAACAGCTTGGTTTTCTTTTGCAGTCCTCCGGAACACCTTCATCCTGTCCTGTGTGCTCATTATCTGCTCCCTCCTGTTCCCTGTTCTGTGGCATCTATGGATTTATGCAGGAAGTGCCAACTCCAATTTTTATTATGCCATCACGCTGACTTTCAACATAGGGCAGGTCAGTAGAGCGAGGCAAACAAGGCTGCACTTTGGGTAGGTCACTGCATGGGGTGTCTGTGAGCAGCAGTGAGTTCTGCAGGATGGGCCTGGCTCTTTGCATCCTGTGTAGTTCGTGCATGGCAGCTTCTTGCCTCTCCTTGCTCCTGCTGAAATCTCACCTCACGTTCTGGCACACTGATGGGAAAGAGCTTTTGTAGTAGTTAACCTATAGCTGAACAATCCAATTTATGGAGCTGCTGTCTCCTTAGGGGACGTGCCTGTGACAACATGGTGGTAGTGCAACAAATAGGTTAGTTAAAGTCTTCCTTGGCTTAATAGTGCAAGGCAATGGACGAGGAGCATTCATAGATTCAATGTCTCCTCTCACAAAGTGTGCTGAACAGCCCAAGCACTTCTTAAACCCCATCGGGGTCCATCACAAATGCATTTCCCTTTTACCCCTGGTCCTGGAGCATCACTGATGCATCTGAACATCTTGCTTCCGCAGATCCTGCTCGTCTCGGACTATTTCTATGCCTTCCTCCGGAGGGAATACTACCTCACTCATGGACTCCATTTGACAAGGCCAGATGGGACAGAAGCCATGCTTGTTTTGAAGTAAGGATTGTGCCCACCATTCCCAGGACATGGACCACTCTAAGGAACACGCAAAGCTTGGGGTGTGTGGGGTGGGTGGGGAAGGTTCCCTGAATGAGGTCTAACTTTGGGAATGATGCCTGCTGTGAGAAAGGGCTGAGGTTCTTCTGGGAATACCCTCCTGAGCTACAGGCTCAGTGCAGAGACTTAAGAGCTACAAGTAGGAGCTGCAGTGCCTCCATTGGAGCATCTCCCTTCTTCCCTAAGCTGTGCTTTTCACTACGACCTCAGCCATCACCTCGGGGCAGTCCAGCAGGAACTGGAGAAAGCATCTGAGTTCAAACCAGGGCTGCATCGGGGTCCGGAAAGAGCTCAGACCATAAACTGTTCACTTTACTGTCACTGCTTCTGGAGATGTTTGCTGCTCCAGGGCATTTCCCCTTCACTGCTTTGACCAGTAACGCTCCTGCTTGGCACAAGGCAATCTCTGGGTACCTGGTTCCTAAGCTCTGGCTGTAGGAGCCGTTTGTTGGTTCTGCTGCAGTGGGATCTGGAAGGATGATGTGTGCTCAGGTGCAGTGGGTGAAACAAAGGGGTGACCAAGGCTGACTGACCCGTTGGAAGGAGGATGGCTGGAGCTGCTGCCACAGGTAATAATCTTGGTGCTCAGACCCTGCTATGAACTGGAACTGGGGTGGAAAGCAGGGTGGGCACCAGGTAACTGCTGTATCCTGTTGAAGCAACAGACACCTTCATCTCAGGAGCTGCAGGCAGGAGCATTACAGGGTCCCACAAGAAGGCACTACTGTGCAGATAGATTCCTGCTGCTCCTCTCTGTAAGGCAGCAGCCTGGCAGTGCAGGGCTCACACTGCACCTTTGTGATTGCCTGGATGTGGAGAGGGCAAACTGCCTGCCACAGCTAAGGACCAGGAGGTGTCAGCGTTTCCCCTTAGGGCCTCTGCTGTTGTGCAGTAGTTGGGCTCCAGGTTTTCCACAGCCACTTAACACTATGGGATACGCACTTCCCTGTTACCCTCTTGCAAGCAGAGCAGTGGTGTCTGCTGGCTGTGCGTGGAGGCCTCCACTAAGTACCCCTTGGTTTCCCCATGGCTCCCATCTGCCTGCACTCAGACCTGCTCACTTCAGGGTTGCTGCTCCTGCTGCCCCCATGAATGTGAACCTCAGGCACATTCTGCTCTGCTCATTGCGTGGTGGCACTGAGAAGCAGGAACTGCAGGGTGAAAGCCTCTCACTGGCATCGGGGCAGCAGGCAGGCAGCTTCCTACTGACACTAAGGGCTGGCAATGTGACAACATCAAACCATGGCTGGTACAGAGCACCTGAGAGATGGGACAGGCCCTTGTTGAACACATCTCCTTCCTTTCTGGACAGTTCAAACTTCTGCCTTACTGCACTGCTACTGGCGCTTTGGGGGGGGTTAACCCAAGGCCAGCTCAGCCCCCGCGCTCGGCCCCTCTGGCTGCATAAGAGGAGCATAATAAACTGCAGTTTTAGACACCTCCTGTGCTCGGTGTTTGGTGGAGGGGGGAATACGGGGCTCTAGGAGACAGGGAGAGGCACATGGAGGGGTCATGAGGGGATTTGGAAGCAAACACAGGGGTGGGAAGGGCAAACAAGTGGCCTTGGGGCTGCAGGGGGTCAGGAGCTGCTGCCTCCTCCAGCTGCTCCAGCCCAGGATGTTCCTGCCCTGCTGCTGGAGCCCCTCAGGGGGACACAGCCTCAATCTGCCCGGCCCCCTGCCCACATCCCAGCTCTCTTACCTCCCCCCCACAGCACCACACACACCAGCAGGTCCAGCTTGAAGTCTGCCTGTGAACACCACTCACAGACACCCAGTTTGGGGATGGCACTGCCACTCGTCCCCCCCGGGAGCTGCCACCACAGGCTGGGTGCCTGCATCCCAGTCTGACTCCAGTGCTGGCTCCAACCCCACGCCGGCCTCTGCAGCAGTGATCTGAGCTGATCAGGTTGGTCAAGCAGGACTTCCCTTTCCCTTCTTCCCCTGCACAACAGCTGGAGCAGCGCCTAAAGCCAGCCTGGGCCCTGGCGGATGGAAGCCAACCTCTCCCCAGGCACACCAGCAGCCCTGTACAGCTGCAGTGCCTCCACTGCAGGTACCATTCCCACCCCAAGACCTGCACTGCCACAGAGCAGCGCCTGTCCTTTAGAGATACATGGGGGCTGTTTGTAAGCATTAAAAGAGTCTTAAGCACACAAAGTCCACACACTGCGATTCCTTAAAAGAATAATAAAATCATTGTTTATAAATCCAATCTTAGTCCATAGAGGCTCAGATTAACGTTAGAGAAAAAGAAATGCAAAACTCTAAGTATGAATTTCTGCTTAAACGTAAGCAAAAGATATTTCCCAAGTATAAAGTGCTCCTTTTACAACAGATTCCAAACCCAAGCAACAGTAACAAAATTACATTGTGCTGAACAATACTTGATTTTATGCAGGTAAGGGAGACAAATGCCTTTATGATGCTTGTTTTTGAAGCATAGTAAGTTCTTTAAAAGCCTTTACAGAGTTCCTGTCGCCTTCCAGTAGCTACCTGGTACACCTGCAGATGTGAAATAGGGTTGAGGATGAACACAGAGGTTGCATGGCACCCATCACCTCTAGGCATGAACTCAGGTACAGCAGAGCACAAACCAATGTCTGGTTATCAAAACAAATGAAATCAGAGTTAAGCACACAAAGGCTCATCCTCCCTCTGCCAAACAGCTACCAGTTCCCGTGATAAAAAGGGCAAAGGCAATGCAATGATCTGGAGAGAGCCATGAGGTTCTCTCACAGGGACTTCCCTTTGTGTTAGTTCTCAGAAACCAACGGGGCAGAACAGAGCGCTCATCGCTGCCTTCCCCACACCCACAAAGCCAAAGCTTGTTCCAGTTCCTGAGCGTTGCTGAACCTTTTGATCTGCCATTTCAGTTCTGAGGGTGGGCTTTTTCGAGCTTTTAGCTTTCTCTTTACTGAAAGCAGCCTTCCTCTTCGACCTGAGTAAAAGGTGAGAGGGAAAAGGTCTTCCTCATCACTTTTCCAATTGGACGGACACTTGGGAATACTCACAGGAGTACTGCCAGTAAGGTCAAAATGGAAAAACCCCTTATAGTTCTACAAGGGAGAGAAAAATGACACAGGAACAGCAGTCAGAGATGCAGGGGACAAAGGAAGGGACACAAGAATGGAAGAATACCTGAAGAGCCTGCTGAGAATGCAGAACTGGAGCAAGGACGAGCAGCACCAGTGCAGCATCTCGCTGGGATGCACTGACCGTGCCCAGGACACACGGCTGGCTGCCTGACAAGCATCCAGGTAGCTCTGCTCTCCTGCAGGCACTCAAACAATGGACAGTTTGAGCAGCTTCTGCAGTCCAGTGAGTAAAAATAAAACATTCAATGTATCAAAAATACCCTATAAAAGAACAAAAGGCTGCATGTCACTGCAATGCATTGTTACTTCAATAGGAACTGTGTCACACTTAGAGCAAGAGGCCTGCATCTTCATCAGCTTTTGGAATACCAGAAAAGTAATCTTTGGTTATTAAAAAGATTCTCCTCTCCCTTCCTTTTATGTTCTTCTTTATGAAGAAATTGGTTTTACTATTCTTGAAGATGCCATTTCAGGTTACGTCAATGTTCTGCCACGGCACTGGGGTTTCAGACCGTATTTACTCCTCTCTTCTTCAGGTATAGCAGAAAAAAACCCAAACAACCCCAAAAAACACCCCTGAGCTGGGAGCTTTTCTGCCTGTTCATGCAATATCACAGTCACCTTAAGGAGCAATGGGGACTGGCAGGAGCAGTAACGTGCCGTCAGCACTTCTTGTACTAACAATGACCTGTAATGTTTGAAGTTCCTCCCGCTACACAGTGCCAATACATTCAAAAATAAATGAGGATTGAGTCTGCTGTAATAAGTAGTTGGCTTTTTAAAAGTTCATTTGGAATATGCACTTTAAATACCCACGTTAAAACACACTGTGCGGTGAAATGCATTTCTGCATTGTGCAATGAACTCTTACAGTCCATCCAACGGGCTTTGAGAGGAGTTGCTGATCACGTTTACTCATCTTCTGAAGGAGCAGACTGAAGAGTGCTAAAAGGACAAGGGTTACTCATCAAAAGGAAGCTTCTGTTCACAGCTGGGTTCTGGAGTTGTCCTGTGTCCATCATCCCTTGCATTATTCCGGCTTTCTCTCATTTGGAATTAGATGAGGGGCAACCACATCACTATCCTGTTATTGGAAGTCAGAAGACGTTAATGAGAGTACATCCGCTTTTGCTTTCTATCCTAAAGCAGGGGAAAGGAAGCTCAGGATCAGACTTACTAATAAACAAGCAAATAAAATCCCTGGTCCTAGAAGCATTGTAAATCAACCAACACTGAAGGCTGCATCCCGAAGATGCAGTGGTACCACTCAGTGGTGGGGAGAAAACAACCAAACCCTATGAGAGAAGCCTTCACCATTAACAGATCTCTTCTTCCTGCATCGTTAGTAGCAAATCTAGGAGCGCTGGCAAGCTGGTATTTTGGGCATTGGTACATGAATCGGAGACATTACTAGACCTCATAGCAGCCTTCCAGTATCTGAAGGGGGCATATAGGGATGCTGGGGATGGACTCTTCATTAGGGACTGTAGTGGTAGGACACGGGGTAATGGATTAAAACAGGGGAAATTTAGATTGGATATAAGGAGGAAATTCTTTCCTGTTAGGGTGGTGAGGCACTGGAATGGGTGCCCAGGGAGGTTGTGAATGCTCCATCCCTGGCAGTGTTCAAGGCCAGGTTGGACGAGGCCTTGGGTAATACGGTTTAGAGCGAGGTGTCCCTGCCCATGGCAGGGGGGTTGGAACTTGATGATCTTAAGGTCCTTTCCAACCTTAACTATTCTATGATTCTATGATTCTACACATGTTTTCTCTGAATTTGCCACAGTTCTTCATTTAAAAGTGCTGCAACCCATCAGTCCCAGGTGCATATACATATAGGGATGCTGGGGTGGGACTCTTCATTAGAGACTGTAGTGGTAGGACAAGGGGTAATGGGTTAAAACTTAAACAGGGGAAGTTCAGATTGGATATAAGGAGGAAATTCTTTCCTGTTAGGGTGGTGAAGCACTGGAATGGGTTGCCCAGGGAGGTTGTGAATCCCCACCTTCTTGTAATGAAGGGGGATGTAATGGGGATGCTGTATCACACATCACCAGTTTACAGCCACTGCTGGTACAGGCTTCCCCACCATCTTTGGCAGGAGGAATGCAAAGTGAGATGCATGGACTCAGGATGTATGGACACCCTTAGTGTGTGCTTTAGTCTCCATTTCACTTGCCAGGGCAGCTCTGAAGCTGTTCCCAACACAAAATGAAACAAACCTTAAGACGAGCTGTAACAGACCCTCTTCCTCCCTCACAGCTGGAAACTTGTATGCTGGGAGTTGACAGAAAAGGGCAATGCAGAGAACAAATGAGGCCTTGCAGTCAACTCGGACTACAGACTAGCTGCCCAGAGAGCAGAGGTTTGCAGTCTTGTTCCCACAGGTATTTTCCATTCAGAGCAAAGAGACTGACCATGGAGGAGCAGTGAGTTAAATCAGTGCAAATCTATCACTGTTTCAGTGAAACCAAAGCAGATCCCTAACACGAGCCACAATAAAACCAGAAGCTAAGTTAGTGGGGAGTGGCTCTGCCACAAAGACAAAGCCAAGGGACAATAAGCTTTAAGAGCAATAAAAATAACAAGTGAATTTGTTACCGGTGGTTTGGTGAAATTATTCTTCATGCACCAATGAATAAAATACTG